GATAGATAGACAGATTGATAAAGAAAGAGAGAGACAGACAGACAGATTGCTAGAGATAAAGACAGATAGAGATAGACACGTAGCTAGATTGATAAAGACAGCCAGAGAATCAGATGATAATGTGTATTTGTTTTTATATATATATATATATTAGTGGACTCTCCTGTTGTATTCGATGTATGAGAGTCAATCAGTTCAGTTCCTAGGAACTGACAGCCAAACACCAGCACATATGATTTGATTATAGTGGTGAAGGCTTTGTGCAGAACCAATCACACTTTTTGAAGGGCTGGATACAGAGACCTGGTGCACTATGTTCCACAAGGTCCCCAAACGACCCTCTGCAGGTTTTGAATTCAGAGTTGTCCTTCTCCTAGACAAGTTACCATCCAAGGCTATAGAATCCAGTCTGTCCTGCTATTTACCCATAGCTGGAGGGAGAAGAAGAGGATCAATACCTTTCCCAAGGGTATTAGCACATAAGTGAATGTAATGGATTCAACTGGAATTTGACCTCAGCTCTCTGATTCATAAATCCAAGCCACTACTTCACCATGCCTATATATATATATATATATACGAGTGAGAGATAGATAGATAGATAGATAGATAGATAGATAGATAGACAGACAAACAGTGCAGACACAGAAATCAACATTACATGGTGACAGTTTTACACCTCAAGTGATCTTTAGGTCATGTCATAAACTCTTCCAGTGCTCTATTCTCCAATATTGGTCATGCTTAACTGATAAATATAGCAAATTTTAAATAGCATTATACATTGCTCCAAAGGATTGCTAACCACTCTCCTTGTACCCAACAAAGTGATGTTTTGGAGCTGGTTTAGTTACTGACCATCCAACAACTAAAAAAAAAAGAAGCTTCTAACTTAGTTACAGTTACAAACTATTTCTTCCTTGCATATAAGAATTTTAAGAAGATTCTTCAAAATCTGGGAAATGTTTTAACAAATGACAGAAAATGTAACACAGAAATTTGAGGGCACATTGGAATAGTAAAAGTTGCCTTCCAAAAGCTAAGCAACGTATTAACAGGAAAATTTCATTAGAAACCAAGAAAAGAGTGCTGAACCATGATTAAATATCAATCCTTCTATATGACAGTGAATGATGGAGAATTTCCTCACAGATAAAGAGACGCTTTGAGGCATCAAAGATGATGTTTGACTGGAAGATGCTGAGAATACCTTGTACAGAGCGTGTAAGTAATAAGGATATTTTAAGTAAAAATGCAAACAAAAAGGATGCTTATACTTAGAATCAGAAAGAGATAGTTGAAAATTTCTAAGACACATAATGAGGAAAGAAGATTTGGAAAATTTGACACTCATAAGATATATTGAAGGCAAAAAGGACAAGCTTGTGTAAATAAACATGGAGTGGGTGGGATATTAAAAGGCCAAACATTGCTAAGAACAATGATATTATACAAAAGTATAATTTTTTTTAATTATTTCACCCCAAGCAAAGTGATAATGCCATTAAAACGCAAGGTGTTACTGGGAGTGAAAGACAAAGAGAAGACTTTAGTGAGGAGAAAGGATAACAAAAGAACAGGTTTAAGGATGACAAAAGATGACGATTGTCATTACATTTAAATTTATGAAGATTGAGAGTGGCAGGGAAGCAAGAAATTGGAAGGGAGTTGCACAGGCAAGAAGTGTGGGAAAAGAAACTATTATAAAAGAAAATACATCAAGCTAGTTCAACTGTAAAACAGTGAGAATTATCACACTTAAATTTATGCAGTTGAGGCACCAAGAGGAAAAGCTTATCAGAACAATTGTTATGAAAATATATGTAGAAAAGACAGAGCAAAGCCATGTTATGGTGGTGAGAATGTGACTGATTTCAAGATACCGGGTCAAGATCAATTACATTACAGCAGGAATGGGCAAATTACGGCACACAAGCCACATGTAGCCTGCCAAAGGAATTTGTGCTGCCCATCAAATGTTAGTAAATTTGAAAGAGAAAGTTACCAAGCAACACCAAATAATTGTTACAAGCAATTTGATGCCTAATATTAAGAAACTGGTAAATGACTGCAGTCAGATACATTATTCTTATTGAGTCATTGAGATCCTTCTGTTTTTTAAACAAATCTGTTTCATGTGAAGTTTATACTTTAAAATCTAAATTAATTTTGTTTTTAAATTTAGTTACTTTATGTTTTTTATTTAAAGTTTCTACTTTAAAATATTAGTAAGAATTGTTTTTTATTTCTTTACGCAGAGTTAATTTGTTTTTCAAATAAATATATTTTTTACTTTATAATATTAATTAATAAAAATCATTTTTTTCTTAAAACAAGGTTATTTTGTCTTTCAAATGTGTTTCATGTATATCTTCAACTTAAAAATAATTCTTATTTTTTTCTTTAAAGTACTTTAAACTGAGTTACTTTGTCTTTCAAATAAATGTGTTTCATGTGAATCTTCTATAGTATTTTAAAATATTAATTAAGAAAAATTAATTGCATTTTTTTCTTTAAAAGCCTTTTTTTGTCTATTTTAAATATTAATTATTTTGGGTTAATATACTATGTAGCTCAATAAAATTATGAATTTTTGAATGTGGCCCTTGCACTGAAAAGTTTGTCCACTCCTGCATTACAGACTCTTTGAATTTTGTCAAGAATCTCAGGATATATACTAAGAGCTCCAGACCAGATATGATAACAGTAATCAATGCACAGATGAATGATAGATTTATAAATGTGAAAGAGGGATTCTGAGGAGAAGAATTGTCTAGCAAGGCACAGTGAACTATATTTCCTAGAAGTCAACCAAGCAATTGATTCAATATAGTCATTCCACTTCATGTCAGGGGAAAATATGAAGCCAAGAATTTGCAAAGTGTTGCTCTTTCTTGCATTGTACTGGAATAAAGACCTTAATCAACAAATAAAGCATATGCCACTAAGAATGCTCAACTAAAATAAGTTTTTAAAAAAATCACATTTTCCCAATAAAAATTCAAGATATATTCATTATACAAAAGAATAATTTTTTTAAAATTTTTACCCTGAGCAAGGTGATAATGCCACTAAGATGAAAGGGGTTACTGGGAGTGAAAGACAAAGAGAAGACTTTAGTGAGGAGAAAGGACAATAAAAGAACAGGTTTCAGGATGATAAAAGATGACAATTGGCATTACATTTAAATTTTAGAAGATTGTGGGTGGCAGGGAAGCAAGAAATTGGAAGGGAGTTTCACAGGCAAGAAGTGTGAGGAAAGAAACTATTATAATAGAAAATACATCAAGCTAATTCAACTGTAAAATGGTGAGAATTATCACACTTAAATTTATGCAGTTGAGGCACCAAGAGGAAAAGCTTATCAGAACAATTACCATGAAATTATTTGTAGAAAAGACAGAGGGAAGCCACATCATGGTGGTGAGAAAGTGACTGATGTCAAGGTTCCAGGTCAGGATCAATTACATTACAGACTATTCTTTGAATTTTGTCAAGAATCTCAAGATCTCTAGGACCACCAGACCAGCAATATTCAAAGCATGGACAAATGATAGATTTATAAATGTACAAGAGAGATTCTGAGGAGAAGAATTGTCTGGCAAGACACAGTGAACCATATTTCCTAGCAGTCAACCAAGCAATTGATTCAATATAGTCATTCCATTTCATGTCAGTGGAAAATGTGAGCCCAGACAGTGCCTAGGATTTTTTTTTTCTTCATTTACAAACTACTTTGATATTTGCTGAAAAATTATAATTTTACAAACATCTACCATTATAGTGATAACTGTTTTTGTATTTCAGCTTTTCTATTCAAAAAGAAAACCCCAACAGGAGATTACTACTGCAGTGAGTGCAGTGTTCACTGAGTAATCCATTTCATACTTCCTTCCTTAGATGCCATGCATGATGCACACTTAGACAATCATGTCTCATTGTCATGGGTCCTTACCTATAACTACAGAATGAACTCTTCCTAACACTATGTATACTACGCCTCTCAAGAGAGAGGGTCGAATCGAGTCGAGCTGATAGTAGTTCACTCCAAACCAGACTGACAGTCATACTAACACCTTCCACATCTTGTATTATTATTTTGTGTAATATACCTTCGTTATTTCTACTCTTGTGTTCGTGTTGTTCTTCCTTGGTCCTAACCTGGACCATAACACTCATTTCAAATCATCATTGACAAGTAGCACACTTAAATTCATGCAGTTGAATCACTAAGGAGAACAGCTCATCAGAACAATTGTCATGAAAATATTTGTAGAAAAGACAGAGGGAAGCCATGTCATGTCAGTGGGAAAGTAACTGAAGTCAAGATACCAGGTTGGGACCGATAACATCACAGACTCTTCTTTGAATTTTGTCAAGAATCTTGAGATATATAGCAAGAGTTCCAGACCAGATATGATAACAGTAATCAATGCACAGATGAATGATAGCTTTATAAATGTGCGAGAGGAATTCTGATGAGAAGAATTGTTTGGCAAGACAGAGTAAACCATATTTCTTAGCAGTCAACCTAGTAATTTATTCAATATAGTCATTCCACTTCATGACAGCCCAAGAAGGTGCAAAGAGTTGTTCTTGCATTGTACTGGAATAAAGACCTTAATCAATAAATAAAGCAAATGCCATTAAGAACATTCAACTAAAATAACGTGAAAAAAAGAACAGATTTACTTGAAAATCATATTTTCCCAATAAAAATTCAAGATAGAATTACATTCTTAGTCGTATTTTCAATTATTTAAAATTTTCATGAATACAAGAAATCTTAAAGTAAAATAATACTTTTTTCTTTGATAAGCATTTGGAAAATGTATGAAGTTTAAACAATATAAATTTTAACAAAAATCATTTTTAACTGAGAAGGATTAAGAGATCCATATTTGAGTATCTTTTCTCCTTTATTATACATTTGTTTGCAGTAGGAATTAATATTTTTATTGAAATTCTCTCAAGATAGCAAAAAGGCAATTTAACAAAATTTAAAAAATATGATTGATCAAACTAAGCATACAACAAAAATAGATGATAGATAGATGATAGATTATAGATAGAAGATAGGAACAACAGAAGATTGATAAATAGATAGATAGATAGAACAGAGATAGATAGATAGATAGATAGATAGAAGGAACAGTGACAGATTGATAGATAGATAATATGGAATAGATAGATAGATAGATATGGGAACAGAGACAGAGATTGATAGATGATAGATGAATAGATAGATAGATAGATTGATAGATAGATAGATAGGAACAGAGACAGATAGATTGATAGATAGATACATAAATAGGAACAGATAGATTGTTAGATAGATAGTTAAGAGACATTAGATTGAGGATAGATAGGAACAGAGACAGATAGATTGATAGATAGATAGATAGGAACAGTGACAGATAGATTGTTAGATAGATAGGAACAGAGACAGATAGATTGATAGATAGATAGATAGGAACAGAGACAGATAAATAGAAATGCTATTATTTCCATTACATAAATGAGTTTATATCAAAATTACTGGAAAAAAATAATATATATTATATATATATATATATATATATATATATATATATATATATAAATACACACACATATTTTCTGAAAACCAAACAATAAATTTTTCCCTTTTCACTTCTTAAAGAAAATGCAAATTAGGTAAATTAAAAAACATAGTTGGAGAAAATTCAGGTGTGACAAGGAAAAAATAAACTCAAGTATGTGGGTGTTTGATGAGTCATTAATGTAATTAAATTCTATTTAATTAAATGGATTGCATGTGAAACCTCTTAACAACAGAAACAGTTCTTGAGTAAATTTCATGTTCATCTTTAGATAACACAATAAACCTGAAAAATAAAAAAATGTATAGGTACATACTTAGAAACACACACACACACACACACACAAATACAAACATGCATGACCCTTAGACATGTACATACACAAATTTTGATTTTCATTATGTTAGACTGATGTAAAAGCATACAGAAATAAGTTTTTTTATAATGATAGGGAAATCAGGCTGGGGTTAGGGCCTTTGAAGTCTCTTCTTAACCAACTTTGAAAGTCCTTTCTTGGATGTAGGCCTTCCCAAAAATCTTTGCCTTAGCTGTTCATGGAGTGGTATAGGCCATTACTGTCTTCAAAATTCACTTTTTTCTATGTTGAACAAGAAGAGTTGAGTGCTTCAACAGGGTGTAATGGTTAGTAAACCTTGTAAAGGTGGATTAATTATGACTTTGTAGTGAGTTTTATCCTCAAGGGTGCTCCATACTTTTGGCCTTGTGCCACATCTAAGCTATTCTTAGTAAATCGCTATATTGAACAAGAAGAAAAAGACAAGTATTTAAACACTGAGCAATGTTCCAATGCCCATTGATAAAGGCCTACAGCATCTGGCATTTCCAAGTGCTCACCCATCTAGGTAGTGACCAGGCTTAATGCTGCTTAATGAGCAAGAACCTATGTTTCAACATGATATGGCCTTTAAAGTTTACAGTGTCTGTCTGAATTTCTGGGAAGAGGAATTGTCATTATTTACATGTAGACTATTGTGAAAATAACAAAAAAGATAAGGACAGTAGGTTGCATGTAAATAATGACTCTCGTTAGAATGTTGCTTACAAATTTCAGGGAAAATTCAGAAGCCAAGGAAATGAGTTCCACATAAATCTAAGAAATGGAACATTGATCAAGGTTTAAACATTTGTCTTTCTGTTCTTGTTCAATATAGAAAAACATCAATTTTCAAGACAGTTATTAACAATGAAAATGGATTTATTATGAGAATCCAAAAATAAGAAAAATCAAAGCTAACTCCAGAAAAACTTTCAATATCTCATTCTGAAATGATTCTAAGAATTATCTGTGTTTGGTAGAATTCTAAAGGAACTCTTATGGAATGCTGGAATTTGTATAAGCTCTTACCACTCACTACTACAATGAGTAACTTGTTTGTTTGAATGACTCATTTTATGAGAAAAGACCTTTTTCTGGACAAGGAAGTTGAACAATGATTTTGCTTCATAGAACAAGCCCCCATGTTGCAAATTACATTACAGACTGTTCTTTGAATTTTGTCAAGAATCTCAAGATATATACTAGGACCAGCAGACCAGCAATATTCAAAGCATGGACAAATGATAGATTTATAAATGTACAAGAGGAATTCAGATGAGAAGAATTGTTTGGCAAGACACAATGAACCATATTTCCTAGCAGTCAACCAAGCAATTGATTCAATATAGTCATTCCACTTCATGTCAGTGGAAAATGTCAGCCCAAGAAGTTGCAATATGTTGCTCTTCTGGAGTTTAGCATCAGCCATGTTGATGACAGTGCCTGGGATATTTTTTTTCCATTTACAAACTACTTCTTTGATATTTGCTGAAAAATTATAATTTTACAAACATCTACCATTATAGTGATAAGCAACAATCATGGAAATGTGATAGGAAGTTCTTTTGCATTCAATATATACTCCAGATCTGTCAACTTCCAACCTGTTTTCCTTCATTCTTTATCTGGTCAGTAATTTAAAAAAAAAACTCAAGATATTCAATATTATTTGAAGAATTCCCTTAATCAAAATTGGATTCGTTTATTTTATGATGGAATATACAATATGGCTGGGATGTGGAGTTGACCTAAGATTAGATTTCAGCATTAAATAACCCATAGAGGTGTTGATGTGTCACTAAACAAAACCAACCAACCAACCACTTGATCTCCATTGAAACATCACTTGATGATGCCTGCCATTTAAGGTTTAACTCTTAGGCCACCTACACATCCCAACCATATTGTATATGCCATCATAAAATAATGGTAGTCCCAAGTGGTCACTCATCTAGGTACAGACCAGACTTAACATAGCTTAACTCCAGTGATCGTTTGGGAACCAATGTTTCAATGTGATATGGCTGTAAGTCATAACCATTGTGCATATCTCTCTCTCTCTCTCTCTATATATATATATATATATATATATATATATATATATATATATATATATATATATATATATTTACATTACAGTTCAAAAAGTTGGAGGCTATGCCTGGTAATTTTTAAATTGTCCCCAAAAGTAGTTGTTTAATACTTTAAATAAGAGAAAATTTTCTGTCTATATCTCTGAGATGAGGTAATATGATTACTTGCATTATTTACATTATTTGGACTGTTATCCTAATCTTCATTACCATATTCACAATGTTTCGGCCATTGTATGCACTGGTCTTCTTCAGGTGATTGGAATTTTGATCCAATGATTAGACCCAAAAGAGTTGTGAGTTCAATTCCAGGCTACAGTAGTAGTGAACCAAAAAATTGGAGAGCTGAGTTAAAGGGAAATAACTGAGACACCTGGAAGAGGCATGTCATGTGGAACTAGAACTATCTACCCCACTGTGGATGGAATAAAGAGTTCGGTTTGAAATGAAGATGAGGATAACAGTCTGAATAATGTAAATAATGCAAGTAATCATAATACCTCATCTCAGAGATATAGAGGCCAAAACTTTGTGAATATGACAATGAAGATGAGGATAACAGTCCGAATAATGTAAATAATGCAAGTAATCATAATACCTCATCTCAGAGATATAAAGGCCGAAACATTGTGAATATGGCAATGAAGATGAGGATAACAGTCTGAATAATGTTAAATAATGCAAGAGAAAATTATTATACATGCTTAAAACATATGAGACATGATTTTTTTTTATTAGAGATTTTATTAGGAGAAAAAAGAAAAAAAAAGCATTATGATTAAATTTTGCTCTCATCAAAATATCCTTCTTTAGCCTTGATTACTGCAACACGAATTTTTGGCATCCGTTGCAAAAGTTGCAAGTATAAGTTTGATAATTGATTCCATTCTTTTTTCATTAACTCTGAGAGCTATTTTCTATTTTTTTTTTTTTTTCAATTTTCTGTTAAGTTCATCCCATACTAATTCTGGGAATGGCTTCAAACTTTTAAACTGTAGTGTATGTGTGTGCATATATATATATATATATATATATATATATATATATATATATATGCACGGAGGCACAGTGGAGTAATGGATAGCGACTTGGATTCAGGAATCGCAGAGCCGAGTTCGAAATCCAGTCGAATCCATTACATTCACTTACGTGCTAACACCCTTGGGAAAGGTATGAATCCTCTTCATCTCCCTCCAGCTAGGGGTAAAATAGCAGGACAGACTGGGTTCTATAGCCTTGGATGGAAACTGGTCTAGGAGAAGGACAACTCTGAATTCAAAACCTGCGAAGGGTCGTTTGGGAACCTTGTGGCACTTAGTGAACCAGGTCTCTGTATTCGGCCCTTCAAAAAGTGTGGATGGTCCTGCACGAGGCCTTCACCACTATAATCAAATCTCATGTGTCGTTGTTGGGCTGTCGGTTTTCTAGAAACTGATCTGCTTGACCCTCATATGTCGAAATACGATGGGATAGTTGACTATATATATATATATATATATATATATATATGGGGATGTGTGAGTAGTGTAATGGTTATTCATACAGAAAGTGAAATTGGTGAGCTAAGTTCAAATTCTGGTCAATTCTGTTTCAATCATTTTGCACTAATGCCTTTGGGAAAGGTGTTTATCCAACGTTAACGTTAAATAGCAGGTAAACTTGAATTCTCTTACCTGGGTGGCAACCAGAGGTGTGGCAGTTGATTACATGGGGGGGGGTCACCCAATGATTGTGTCTTATCATCACACTGGCTGTATTTGTCACTAGAGTGCCTAGTCTACTCCAGTCTACTCCATTGTGTTCAATGACCGTCAACTCCTACAATGCTACTGGGTGTCTAGCAACCCTCCTTAAAAGAAAACTAAAAGTCTGATGTGGGAACTGGTTTAGTTGTAACTGACTCAACTCACTCTCTCTCCTTCGTTTTCCCAAACAAACATACCATTTGATAGAAAATTGAACAATTGATTAGAGTTATTACAACATCTAAGCAATAAGGTGTTGCATTTTTTTTTCTTGAGTTTTTTTTAGTTGATAACTTTCATCTGTTCTCTTGAAATAGGGCCATAGTAGCTGGGTAGGGGGCCTTGGCTCACCCTAATTTTTTTTTTTTTTTTACCAATTATAGTTTTTTTACAGGGGTTTTAAAGAAAGAAATACAAGAATGAAAAAATATCAAAGCATGGAGCTACTGGAAATTTTAAATGTTCTTGCTGCTTAAACCTTGTTGGCAACCTTTGATAAAAGACTAAAAATTCTAATTCCCCCCCCCCAAAAAAAAAGACATTTGTTTCTGTTAAAGTACACACGTACAGTCCTGACAGACACTTGTTTTACGGTTTCTCTTTGGCAAATCTAAATTACCAGCCTCATTAATCTTAAGCTTTGGGACGACTGTAAATAAAACTTATGAATCGTTTATTTTTGAGTTTGTTTGACTCTATTCAAATTTAAACGACCGAAATTAAAACCGCAGATAATGAAGAACACTGTAATTCTTGGATCTCCATCTCATAGAGCACTTAAGTATAGTTTCGCATACCATTACTACTGTAGGAGTGTAATTTTCATTAAATTTGATTCTCACATTTTATGCTATTTTTTGTCTGTGTGCAAAAAAAAAACAAAAACTTTTTACTACAGTACACCAATCATTTTTTTTATGGCAACATTTAAAAATGAGGTTGTTTTATTTCCATCAAATACGCCTTTCTTTTTAAAGTTTAAAAATAAAATATTTCTAAAATAAAAATTTATTTAATTTTTTTTTTTTTACACATTGAGCCCAAAAAAATATTCATATCTTTCTAAAGTTACGTTGTAATAAAAACATGACTGACAGCATTTTTAATTTTTTTACACTTTATGTTTGAATATTCAGAAGAAACCTGTGTCAAATAAATTAATTAGTACTTATTTGTTGTCTGTAAGCCACGCATATTCATTAAAGTTCGATAGCTATATGAATTGTTCAGGGTGAAAGTTCGGGATTCGGTTAACAAACTTAAACGAAACCCTTTTAGTTTTACTTTTACACCCAGAGATGGACGAGGATGCTGCTGTTTTTGTTTGTAGACCTTGTCATTAAACTTCTTTTCATATTCATATTGTCGTCCACATGTTTGTTGTATGTTTGTTAAGATGTTTTAGGAGTGTTGATTGTAAATTGAGCTAGCTGCTAGATTATGAAGACACATTCTAAAAAAGAAAAAAAAATTTAATGATGATGATGATGATATCATCATCATTCTACGGCGGAAGGAACAGTTAGGAAATATTTTTTTAATTTTATTAATCATTTCTTCCAACGTTTTAAAATATTTTTATTGACTTTTTTTAATAAAATAACAATACTTTAGTTAGAGACTTAGGGAAATTTTTTAAAAAAGGATTATAATTATTTTTTTTATTTAATTGAAAATAGAATAAGAATTATAAAATGTAAAAAAAAAAATTAAGCTCTTGAAAGAAACATTTTACTACTTTTAGTTTTACAAAATTTAAAGTGTTTTTGGTTTGTTTGTTTTTTTCCTTGTGGTAAATGGTCAGGAGAAATTTACCAACCAATGTTATGTGACCGAAAACATTCTCTGCACAAGTAATTTATTTACATCACATTTCCTTTACATTTCACTATTTTCGCTCGGGAAAATGTCAACCTCCGCACACATTTATTTTTTAATATTTACAACTGATGAGATCAGAGATTTTAATAAAGCATTTTCAAAATCAATGATACTAAAAAAAAAAAAAACAGATAGATAGATACGCAAGCACATTCCATCCCTATTTCAAGAAAAAAGTCAAGTGTATTGTTACTGTTAATGTTAAAGGCGATTTTAAGGTATTAATTACCAGTGTCAATAAACACTAAAAAACTGTAAAGTTATATAACTCTTCTTAATCGTTAAAATCAGTTCATGAAATAAACTTTTTTTTATATATATATGTACTCCAAACAACATTTATTTTTTTTTAAATTTTTATTTGAAAATGTTAACTCCCGAAGTAAGTCTCTTTTTGCTTTCATTTATTTTAATCTTTATAAGTAAATGACAGAGACTGGACGTTTTTCTTTCAGTCAGAGGAAGAATAGAAGAAAAGAATTGGAAAAAGCTAAAGAAAAACGTATGTATCAAATTTAATATCGACTAAGTTTTTAGCCTGACACACACACACGCAGAAAAAAACTACATATTCTACATTACAATAACGGAAACTGTAAGGATCGAACTCACTATTTATTTACTTACTATTATTATTCAGGTAGTAACGATATCTATGAATTTTTAACTTTACGTTTAAGACCATCTTGTGAACCAGCGCACTGGCTAAATGCAAATATTATAACAAGACGTGTATTTTTGTTGTGTAATACGCACACGTGTACATACATACGCGTGAAAATTAGATTAGTGTTTGTGAGTCATTCAATAATTTAAAAAGACTTAAAAATATATTAAATAAATAAATACTTTTTTTTTACTTACTTCGATGTGTAATTTCTGAAAATTTCTTCTTTTTTTCCCTTTTTCTTTGTTGTTATTGCTAAACAAGAGAAAATAAAATCCTCGCACTTGCAACAACTGTTGAAATTTGTCCGTTTACGTGTTTATTCAATGCGAAGAGTATTGAGTTGAAAATATCGTTTCTTTCTTTCTTTCTTTTATTATTATTTGAAATTCGATTATTGGGCGTGGCTGATATTTGTCGGATTGTAAATATACAACGACCCGGAAACAAATGACAACCTCAAAAATCAAAATCGTCCCAAGTCGTACCGTTGTTTTTCTTATTCTTCTTTCTTCCGTCTTAATTCCCAAAAAGTCGATAGTAGCAAAATTTTTTTCATATACTAATTTTGTTCCATGACTATATTTTCATTATGGCAAAGCTTGTGATAGTATTATTACTACTGCTGACCGAATGTGTACAAAAGACGACCCCTCTGAGTTGGTAAAAAATGTAAAAAAAAAATCCAATATCGCACCGGCGAATGTAGAAAGATGTTTTTTAGTGCTACCAAGTGCAAGAGTTGTCAGTACCTACGTGTATTTGTAAAATCTAATTGGTTTTGGTAGGAAGCGATATTTTCTGTCTTCAAGATAAAAATAGTGTCAGGAAGGAAGGAAGGAAGGAAGGAAGAAAGAAAGAAAGACAATATACAATTTATTTGACGGGGTGGAGTAAAAGCAAAGGATCGATTTTGGTCCAAGTTTTTTTTTTTTTTTTTAAATTCTTTTTTTTCCCCTCCTTTCTCTACTAGTAAAACTAATTTTTGTATTTAAATTATTCTAACTTCTTCCTGCCTCACAAAATAATTGAAAATTGGCGAAGTTATTTTAAATTTACTTTTTGAGAGTGGGATCTTTTTTAGATTTCGACTTCTTATAAGAATCATCGTCTGTTGAATCATTGCTTGAATTTATTTTAGACACAGTTGAATTGCGATGATGTAGGACATTTTTAGAGTAATTCAGCGTCAGTGTTTTTAGTCACAAAGTCGGGGTGTTTATTGTTCACTTCTGGCCCTCTTTCTTTCTTTCTTTCTTTCTTTAACCTCTCGGCACTTGGTGACGATTATTTCGATGTTTTTCAAGTCCACTATTGATGAGTGAATGATTTTTCTGACTTACAGTAACAAGTAATTGTAAGTGCACAACGAGTTGTGACGAAGAAAACATTTTTTTTTTCATTACGATGCTTTACCCTCAATTTCATTCAGACGACAACTACAAACAGGTATTACGCGGATTTCCAGTCTTTTTTTTCATATACGTTGCGTTGACATTAAGAGAGTATTTTGTTAGTAAGATGATTGGATGGTTGATTGAATAATAGTGTCAGTAGTAGAAACCGTATACCCTAAATCCAAGAATGATTACGTCAAACAGGGCAAATCCAGATAGTGCATATAAGAATTTGGCTACTTTTTTTCTTCTTGCATCACTACCAACAGCAACTCCTGCTCTCATCCACACGGGTAGATGTTGGCTTCAAGCCAAGTACATAGAAATCCCGGATGTCTGAAAGAAACTGAAATGAAAAAGAATCCGAGTCCTTTATGTTTTTTCTTTCTTTCCTTTTTTTAAGGTGGAGGTTTGTTAAATTGTTATGTTAACATCGGCGCAGTCAGGTTCATTTTATTTAATCATCATCATCGCTATATTTTTGTCTTATTTTCTCTTCTTTGGTGTGCTACGAGTACCCACTTAGGTGGAGATGTTGGACGAGATAAGATTTTGTATGTAACTCTGGTGTGGGCGATGATGCGTACATTTTTTATACACTGCTTATCTGAGTGCAGGAAGTGATTTTTACTATCAGCAAGATTCTTAGATATGAAAAGAGTGAGGTAGATAGATGCACGCTAAATAAAATAAAGATTGAAAAAAAGAAAGAAAGAAGTACTCTACAGAAAAAATAGAGAGAAACGCTTTTAAAATCTATTTTTCTCAAAACAAAACGGATACATGATTCCTTCTCTATCGTTCACCATTTCTCTTTTTCAGTCTGTGTACGTTGACATTTAAAAATAAAATGAATAATGCGTATATTTGTCGGCCTCTGTGTGTAACTTGTGTGTGTATTTTGGCCCACCTTAAGATGCATACTGACACAGGTATACAGACAGTACACCGTTGTTAACACACAGCCTAGCAGACGAGCTAAGCTGCACTGTACACATCATGGGCACCCAGAAAAATGCGTTCATAACTCCTACTCGCTTTCTTACACAGACAATGATTGTGGACTCATATTTCAATAATTTCATTTATCACCAACTGGATTCACCCAACAACAATCGGCTTTCGCAACGAAATCTTTCTTTTTCACCAATGAACGAGATCGGATTGCACTCACTCACAGGTATAGGTTGCACTTCCAGAGTTAGTCACTTCCATTGCACTATTTATCTCGACTGACCTCTGAAATTACCCCGTAAGTAGTTTTCATACGACGGTAGTATAATAATAATACACTTTATATAGCCAGCTGAAAAAGGGACAAGTTAAGGGGAAGTCTAAAGAGTAAAGAACATTGTACCACGTTAATCTTTCAAACGAAGAGAAAAGATTCTGCGTTCAAAATCCCGTTTTGATCTAGCGGGGCATGAGTTATGATGACCTCTGGTATATAGCATGTATGGGGTGGTATAATAATTATTATATAATCAGCTTTACCAGCCACGCGATTTAAAACACTATTTCATGATAAGTAAGAAGACAAATGAGAAATATTAAGTAACTGACGCCATTGACTCCCAGGTGGGCATCTACGCGGACGACACTACAATTTACTCCTGCATCAAAAACAAATCTAGTGTCATTGACAAAACTAACCTGGCCGTTCGTTTCGAAAAGGACCTCCAATCGATTGTGAACTGGGGCCGTAATTGGCTTGTTAACTTAACACCACCAAAACAAAACTGCTCTCTATTAATCACCACAGAGAATCTTCCCTGCCCCCCATTAGAATGTCTGACGCTCAACTTCCCGAAAGCGCCTCTCTGCGGCTGCTCAGTCTCACGTTGTCTACTGACCTGAGATGGAACAAATACATTGAGTTAATTGCTTCGTCCACCGCAAGGAAAGTTGTCTCCCTGTGCCGCGCCAGGAAATTTTTCTCCCCGGAATCGATCCTTCAAATCTACAAATCAACCATTCGCCCTTGCATGGAGTATTGCTGCCATATAAGGTCTGGAGCCCCTTCTGTTTGCCTCGGGGTTCTTGAAGATCTAGAGACGGATACGCAATGTAATTGGCCCCGATCTGGTATCTCGTCTGCAGTCACTCTCTCACAGACGTGCCGTCGCCTCTCTCTGTCTTTTTTACAAATACTTTCATGGTAATTGCTTCGATGAGCTGTTTTCGCTGTTTCCAAGATTTCGCGAATTCAAGCGTCCTACGAGGCTGGCATCCCGCTCTCACCCTTTCACTGTTGAAACTGTTAAATGTAGCCGCCTCTTCTACTCCAATAACTTCATATCTCGCACCTCTCGTCTGTGGAACTCCCTTCCCTATTCCTGTTTCCCTGATAGCTATAATCTCCAACTATTCAATCGACATCTCCAGTTGCCTTGATCTATCCACTATCCTTCTCCTCATCCTCTCCTCTATCATTCCTACCTGCTCTCGCCCCAAATCCTCTATAACCCCTTGCGTACTAGTGGCTTCCCGCCTTGCTAGAGATGAAATGCTTAAAAAAAAAACAAACAAAAAAAACTGAACAACGGAAATATAACCTGATTCTGTCTGTGTTTCAAGACCAAAACTGTTTACAACACTTAATTAGTTCTCAGCTGTCACCCATTGAAGTAGTGATCAAGTTTCGGCGTTAATTTAACTTTGGTGTTCAAATGAGAATTCGCGCTTTCAGTGTGATTTGATAAAACACGACAAGCGGTTTAAGTAGCTGGAAAGTTTAAGCCTTGGGTCCCGGAAAAAAAGAACTCGAGGATAAAAAATGCTGTGTCCAAGTGAGGTTTTGGTTGATATTTCAAGATTTTTGGTATGATTTTTTTATGATCTTCATTTTTATTTTATTTAAATACTATTTTTTTTTTAATTTCATATGATTTTTTTTTATAAGATTTCCATATTTTTTTTATTATTTTGAATACTATTTTTTTTTATATATATATGATCTTTTTATGATTTTTCATAAAAATTTTTTAATGATTTTTTTTTCAAACTAAGGGTAGAGCAATAGTAAGATGAAGGTGAAGGGAGTCTTAAAAGGAATCCGAGCGTTAGATAATCTGCCAAAATCAGTAAGCTTGAAAAAAAGTGAAATGTTATTTTTTTGGAGAGATAACAGAGAGGTGGGGGCGTAGAGAAGAAAAGAAAAGAGCGCGCAAAAGAGAGGGGGGAGAAAAGAGAAGTCATACCAAAGAGAATAAGAGAAAAAGAGTGAGTGCGAACTCCCTTTCTGATACAAGATAGCAGTCATAACAAAACATACCAACTTTACAAAAATAATCTCCTCTGCAACAGTTTTAGAAATAATTTTATTAAGAGACTGATATGAAATATCCAAACAAAGTATGTAAATATTTACACTATTTGCAATGTTCGAACTGTTATCCTCATCTTTGTTGCTATATTCACGACGTTTCGGCCGTTGTACGCTTCTGCCTTCTTCAGGTGATTGGAATTTCGAATTGAATCCTTTATTTTGCGGGATGAGATTGAAATAATATACAGAGGACATCATTAGAAAATACGAAAACTTAAGGAATCAGCACATATGTTAGGCGACAAAAATCCCCTCAGTCGGCCAAGCATAGAAATAAATACAATATGGGAACTAGTAATACAAACTGCTAGAGAAAAGCAATAATAACAACAAAATTGTAATATGAGTTCTGGTAAAAAATGATTACTGAGAAGGTTTATAAGTCCCAAAAATTCATACACTAATGTCATCAAGTGGATAAAAGCATTGGTAATACAATGACGTGACTTGACCCAAAGTAGTTGTGAGTTCAATAACTGGCTACATCAGTTTAGTTAAAGGGAAATAAATAATACTGAGATATCCGTAAGAGGCATGGGGCGTAGAACTAGAACAATCTACTCTTTATCTAGAAATAAGAGAAATCTAGTTCGAAATTTCAATCACTTGAAGAAGTACAACAGCCGAAACATCGTGAATATGGCAACAAAGATGAGGATAACTGTCTGAACATTGTAAATAATTACAATACCTCATCTCAGAAATATAGACAGATATCAAAGTATGTAATATCGGATGTTTAATTTTTTTTATTCTGTTGTCAATGTTTCATCCAATCATCAGAACAACTGATAAAAAAAACTAAGGAAAATTTGTTACCATAGCAACTTTGCTACTTAGAAATGCTGTGAACATTTTTAAAAAAAATGATAGTTAATAAAATCAAAAATAAATATCTGAACAAATCAATGAGATTTGTAAAAAGGAGAATTTTTAAATAAATGTGAAATATAGTAATTTGATATCGGAAAATCAAATAAAGTTATTGTAAGAAAAATAAATCACATATATCTAAAGAAAATAGCATTATTCAAGGAAAATAATTCAAATTATAATTTATGATAATGTCATTTAGATGTTAAAGAAAATACAGAATTAAAATAAAATAGAAATTATAAAAGTTTATTAAGGTGTTTTTACCAATACCTACGTTAAGTAATATCTTAGCTGGAAAATGTGATATGTTATAAAAACCTACGTTTTGATTAATCGAATATTATAGCTTTACAGGAAATAAACCCTATTTCCAACACAATGACATAGCGATATACACACTATATTAAAACACACCCAATCTTTATTTTCTACCCAATAACAGGTATGCCAAAAAGATTTCAAAATACAACACACACAGTTTAAAGTCTCTATTAGTTCGAAATTAACATCACCATGTGAAATATTTGACTAATCAGAGAAAACTAAAACCTTATTTTTCTCGAGAAAAAATTCTTATAAAATCTCACAGATTTCGACTTTTAAAGAGCAGAGATGCGGCTGTCTCCAAGTCGAACACAAGAGAAGACGTTGCTACATAGCTTTTTCCTTCCGCAACAGGGCGTTCTAAAAGAAACATTTGTCGGCAACGTCAAACGAATCAGCTACAACAGGTTGGACGGTCAGTGAATCTTCGCTGACGATCATGTGTCGGCGACTTCAAAAGAATCATCTCCACCAACAACAAAGACAGCCAGTGAAACTTCGCTAACGATAAAAATCTTTTGTCAACCACATATTTTTTTTCTTTCTGGGAACCAACTATTTAAAAGTATTTTCTAAACTATAGAATTTTCTGTAAACCAACTACCCAAAGACTAACTCAACAAAAAACTATTTTTATTTAAATTTTTTTTAATTTTTTTTGACTTCATGTACATATGTTTGTAAATACAAATGATTTATTTAACAGGCATACCTATGTGTCAGTATCTGTCTATAAGGACACATGGCACAGTGGATAATGGCGTTAGTTAGATCCAGTGACAGGGCCCAAAGAATCTGAGTTCAATACCTGGTTAAGGCGGTGGAGAACTTGGAGAGGGGAATTAACAGGAGGTAACCGATAACTGACATCCATTAGACATGGCACGTGGAACTAGAACAATCTACCTCAGCGAGCAAAATAAAGAGTTCAGTTCGACATTCCAACCACCTGAAGAAGGCCGGAGCGTATAACGGCCGAAACGTTGTAATAAAGATGGCGACAAAAAATGAGGACAATAGTCTGAATAATGTAAATAGTATACCTATGTTTTTATTTTTATTTTATTATTGCTTGGAAATCGGACATTCGGATTTTTAATATAAAAAAAAAAACAAAAAAAAACATGGACGACTGAATTCCCTACAACCTCATTGTAAATATATCCGTGTCTATATTTATATCAATGTGTGTGTCCCTGTTTCGATGTGGATACACTGTCAGATTTTACGATGCAAATTGATTTGGTCAGAATCCAATTATGTTATAATCATTTCACCCCAAGCAAGGCGGTAATGCCGCAAGTACGCGGTGGGGGAGGAGTTACAAATGAAAGTGAGAGAAAAGAGTGAGTATAGGGAGGATTGAGGAAAGGACAAGAGATGAACGGAATTCAAGACGACAGAAGATAGCGACTGACATTGCATTTAAATCTTTTGAATTCATATACTTTTTTTGAATTCATGTACATATGTTTGTAAATACAAATGATTAAATTAACAGGCATACCTATGTTTTTATCTTTATTTTATTATTGTCTAGAATTCGGACATTTAATATAAAAAACCTGAACAACAGAATTTCCTACAGTTTATTCAATAATTCTTTTGGATGGTTTATGACGAATAAATTTAACCTTTCTGGTATTTTAAAATCGAATGGATGGCTTGTATATTGTACATGGGAGTATAATATATTCATATTTTACTATTTTTACTATTGTCCTCATATTTATTCTCATATTCACGACGTTTCAGCCGTTATACGCCCCTGCCTTCTTCAGGTGATATACGTTGGAATCCAGTAAGTAAGTAAGTAAGTAAGTAAACTTGACCCAAAGAATTGAGAGTTGAATACCTGGCCACAGCAGAGGGGAACAAAAAAAAAAAAAACTTGGAGGGTTAAGTTGCTAAAGAGAGATAACTGAAACTGAGATTCCCAGAAAAGGCATGGCACGTGGAACTAGAACAATCTACCCCGGTAGATGAAATAAAGGTTCCGGTTCGAAATTCCAACGTATGTCACATGAAGAAGGCTGTGGCGTACAACGGACGAAGCGTCGTGAATATGACAATAAAGATGAATACAACAGTCCGAACAATGTAAATAATATAAACATTTACAATACCTTGTTGGAGTTAGCTCCTCCTTAATTCCCTAATTGTTCACTAGGGGTCGCTCTCCCTACTCTATAAATACTGGGCGACTTCTTGCCTCGTTCTCTTTTTCACTTTGCATTTCAACGGACACATTTAAAAATGTGATCTCTCACAGAGATCAGCGTTTTTGCCCATTTGTGGGAAAACGCCATGAAACACATATACACGTACGTACGAACATTCACCAAAATACAAACTCTTTACGTTCACACACAAACACAAATGTTGATGTCTTTGTCACTTGTAAATTTGTTGTTTAACACACATATTTGTTGATATGTATATATCGGTCTTGTCTGTTTTCTTTACATCTTCAGCTGGCCTCAACTTGAGTCCACATTGTTCTTGTAGTTGGACCTTCTTCTAGCAGGAAATAAACAGCACGTGTTCCTAATTCAACAACACGCAAACCCACACAGTCCTCTACAACCTCATCTCAGAAATATAGACAGATATTATATTTTTCCGGTTCGTTTTTAATCATAGATGCATTTTGATTTAAACTTAATTGTGTTTCAACACTCTAAAGCAAGGGTCGGATCCGGCCCGCGAAGGCATTTTGACCGGCCCGCGAGCCTGATGACCAATGACTCTATTTTTAACATGAGAGACGACCTTCAAATGAAATTTGTTAAATGTCATTTTCCATAGAATGTCTACACATCTCAGTGCACTAAAAATATTAGACTATCTGCTAGTTATCTTTCATGAGACATTTTATCAAGTTGCTTTGCCTACGTTTAATGTCAAATAATGGACAGTATTTACATTAGTCGGACTATTGTCCTCATCTTTGTCGCCATATTTGTCACAACGTTTCGGCCGTTGTACGCTCTAGCCTTCTTCAGGTGGTTGGAACTTCGAACTGAAACCTTTATTTCGATCACTGGGGTAGACTGTTCTAATTCCACGTGCCATGTATGATGGATGTCAGTTATCAGTTATCTCCTGCTAATTTTCCCTCTGAAAGTTCTCCACTGCCTTAACCAGGAATTGAACTCGCCTTCTTTGGGTCTGTCACTGGATCTAACCAACGCCTTTATCCATATGGCAAGCTATCATGTTACTGTCGCTCGCCGTCTTCACTCGATGTGTAAGGCCCAGAAACATGACGCATGGGTGCCACATGCATTGACCAAGAGAAACAAAGTACAGCGATCCTCCATACCAGGCTACTCGTGGATACAAAGAAAGATCTCGGTTGGAAAGTTCTGTGACACCCACGATATTCTCATGCTTTAGCTCCTTCACAATACCACCATTTTTGGTCGCTTTCTCACAATTTGAGGGGTGTTTCGTTCAACAACGATGTGGAGCTTAAAACGTGTCTTGATAAAATTTTCGAGTCAAAACCTAGTGATTTCTATCGTCTGAGTCATTGGAAATTTAGTGGATTATTGACAGGAGGTCGTAAACAATGAATGGGAATAATATTGTTGAACTATCGGAACTGTAAATAAATAATAAGTATTTAAAATACACTATAAAATCGAACAAACGTATGTAACAATAC